GGAGAACAAAGTAACAGTGAGGGTTTCTGTGTTCTGTGTTCTGGTGGAGATTTCACCCTGAGGGGACTGGAAAAGGGGATTAGTCTGACATTCCAAAGGTTTGTTATCATAGATGCAAAAAGGGCATAGGTTCAGGTAAGATTGACCTTTGTCAAGAAGATACTGGCCTAGGACATGACTACTCCCATGAGTCAAGTTTAGCTAGCAAGTCTCTTTATTTATTTATTTATTTATTTTTATTATTATTGCAAAGGTGCAAATTTATTGAAGAACAAGTACAGACTCCCACGTGGGGAGGGGAAAGAGTCCTCTCGCTAGCAAGTTTTAATTTCAGACCATCCTGTAGGTCTCTGAGTTTGTAAGGCCCACCATGCAGACCGCCCCTGAGCTCGTCAGGTTTAGTATGTGACCCTTTTCATCAGTGAAGATACAGTAGAAAAGGAATAAAATGAAGTCATATAGTTAAGCTGCTAAATTACTAAAATCAAGTAGGTTGAAGCATGAGGAAATGATCCTATCCTTGTTTTAACTAGGCTGGGAACTTCAAGTTTTGAAATTCCAGTCTTTCATCAATGCCTGGAAATACATCAAACCTCCAAATAAGTCTCTGATTGCCCGGAAAAGACTAAGGATAGAATATTCCTGTATCCACACCTCCTGACATCCATTCTCCAGCCACTATGCCATCTCAAGGATTACCATCTTGGACCAATGCAGAGGTTCAAAATATCAGACTGATTCTTCTCAAGAATGCACTTTTTTTTTTTTTAAACTGGAACATTTTAAAAATGTATATTTTTATTGATATCAAAGAGAAAGGGAAAGCTAGAGAGAAATAGAAACATCAATGATGAGAGAGAATTATTGCTTGGTTGCCTTCTGCATGCTCCCCACTGGGCACCAAGCCTGCAACTTGGGCACGTGCCCTTGACTGGAATCAAACCCAGGGCCCTCAGTCCACAGGCTGATGCTCTATCCAGGAACCAAACCAGCCAGGACAAGAATGTACTTTTCACTGTAGGAACTTAGAGCTTTTCTTTCTTCTTCAGACTACTCTGAGTATTGCCTAGTTGTGTTTCTGGTGTGCAAACCCTAGGACCTTTGAATAACTCTTTAACATTTATTTCTAGCCAAAGCCTTCAGACTCTTTTTGAGGTCACTTGACAGCATGATTGATTAGATCATTGAATATTGGTGATTGATTCAATCTCCAGTTCCTGCTCTCCCCTCTCTGGAGGTTGGGTTGGGGGCGAAGGGGAGGGGGTGGAACTGAAAGTTCCACCATCTAATCATAAGATTGGCTCTCCTGGCAATCAGCTGCCATCCTGAAGTTCAGTCCAGAGCCTCATTAATATAACAAAGGACATCTTTATGGCTCCCAATCGCTTAAGAAATTTCAAGGTTTTTAGGAACATTATGCCTGGACTAGTGATGAAGACCAAATACATACAGGCCTACCTTGGAGAGACTGTGGGTTTGCTTTCAGACTATTGCAGTAAAGTGAGTTAAATACTTTGTTTTTCCAGTGCATATAAAAGTTATGTTCACACTATACTGTAGTCTATTAAGTATGCAATAGCATTATGTCTAATGTACAAACCTTAATTTAAAAATACTTTATTGCCACTCTGGCCAGTTTTGCTCAGTGGATAGAGCATCAGCTTCCAGTCAAGGGCACATGCCTGGGTTGCAGGCTCGATCTCCTGTAGGGGGCGTGCAGGAGGCAGCCGATCAATGATTCTCTCTCATCATTGACGTTTCTATCTCTCCCTCTCCCTTCCTCTCTGAAATCAATAAGAATATATTTTAAAAAACTATATTGTCAAAAAATCATCTGAGCCTGTTGGGAAAACGGTGCTGATAGATTTGCTTGATGCAAGGTTGCCACCATTAAAAATCAAAATTCAACCAAGTAAATGTAACAATCAAATTGGCTTTATTTAACAATTCATGAATTAGGCCACCAATTCCATGTGGCAAATAGAAAGGAGCTCAGGAGAGTTGTAGAAAAGGAAAGGATTTAAAGGCAGAAAGGGGATGGGGCAAGGAAATGATTTAGCAAAGAGTGGGTTGTTTTTATTTATTTTTATTTATTTCAGAGAGAGGAAGGGAGAGGGAGACAGAGAAACATCAATGATGAGAGAATCTTTGACTGGCTGCCTCCTGCACGCCCCCTCCTGGGGATCAAGCCTGCAACCCAGGCCTGTGCTTGATGGGAAATGGCTCCATGACCTCCTGGGGTCAGACTCCACCACTGAGCCACGCAGAGCGGGGGAGTGGGTTGTTTTTAGACAAGGTTACCATCCTCTGGGGGCCTGGCATTGGCCTATCAGGCAAATTTCCTCACTAGTGCTGACCAGGAAATTCCAGACTGACTGATTAAGATTACATTCCTGGGAGAGGCTGAAACTGCAATTAGCTTAGTTATTGCTGAAACTGCAATTGGTTTGTTAATGTGCATTTAGCACAAGGGACTCCATTTGGGCCCAGTTTTCTCTCTTCTCCCCCCCCCCCCCCCCCCCTCTCTCTCCAGGTTGTTAAAGTAGTTGGTTGGAAAGGCTCAACAGGCCAAAGGCTCTTGCAAGCCTTGCCGCCCAGTGTCTCAGAGTTTTGTTGGAGGTTGGGAGTCTGTTGGTTGTCTGATGCTCCACTTCAGGGCACTTGGTGGTAGCTTTATGTATTCAACTGAGCCTCTTTCAGAACTGTTTGGTACTGCCTGCCCCCAAACTACAGGAACAAGTTGTAGGGCGGTTTTTGCATCCCCTGTTCATGTTTGGCAGCATTTGGTAGAATGCTTGCTTTCATTATAACCTACCACCCAGTTAGTCAGATTGTGGGAAAGGGGACACAAACTAACTGATGATTGCTGAACAGCCAAACCGGCTTAGATCCGTTGGCATCACCCTGTGTGTTCCTCTTCCCATCCATCCACCCATCCATCCATCCCTCCATCCATCCATCCCTCCCTCCATCCACACCGCGCCCTCCCCTGTGCCTGCGTGGGGGTTTGTGCAGCGGCCTCCTATCTCCGCGGTGAGATAGGAGAGAGGCCGGACCAGAAGGGCCTGGAGCCCGGGCAGCTCTGCGTCCCGGGAGGAGAGCAGAGAACAGGGGAGGCGGCCAGAGCGTGGACGGGAGCTTGGAGTTGGGGTCGGGTTTTGGCTTCCCCGGGCAGCAGGGAGGAGGGAGCGTCCTCCTCCCCGGGCATCAGCGCTGCAGAGAAGCCGAAACTGAGGTGGGGAGGTTGGGAACACCCACAACTGCTCGCGGGGCGGCCGGCTGTCCCGGCGCTCGGAGCCGAGGGGGCCCCGGGCCGCGCGGGGCCCCTCCGGGCTCGGCGGCTCTGCGCCCCGCGCTCCTCGCTCCGGGCCCGCCGGGCGGGGCGCTGCGCCCGAGCGGCGGGGGGCGCTGCCTCCTCCGGGACGGCGGGGGGCGCTGCGGGCCGGGCGGCGGGGGCGGCCCGGGCCGGCGCGGCGAGCGGCGCGGCGGATGGAGACTCTGGCCGCGGCCGGCGGCGCCGCCTCCTCGTCGGGCCGGGCACGGCGGGCCGGGGCCTTTGTGTGAGGCGGCGGCGGCGGCGGCGGCGATGGTGCTGGGGCCCCGCGGAGCCGGGTAAGCGCGGCCGGGCCGAGGGCTGCCCTCGCCGGGGCGCGACCCCCGCCCTGGCCTCCTCGCTCTCGGGGGCGCCCTGCCGCCCGCTCCCCCGCCGGACCCACCTCCCCGGCGCCCCCGGCCTCCGGCGGCCCCGCGCCCCCGCCCTCGGGGACTCCGGGCTCCTGGGGGAGGCAGGGGCCGAGGTGCTCCGTGTCCCCCAAACACGGATCCGGTGCCCTTTCTCCCGGGCCGGCCCCCGGGGGGGAAGACGGGCGCCCCGGGATGGTGGGGGTGCCCCCTCGCAAGTTCGGAGCCTGCCCCCTCCTCCCCGCGGTCAGGCCGCCCGGCGCCCCGACCTGCCGGCGGCGGAGGGTGGCCGCAGGGCCCGGGGGTGCCGGGCTGGCACCCAGACAATGCCGGGGCGCCCCGGCCGCGGGAGTGGGAGCTGGCGGAGTGAGCGAGGTGGGAGCGGGGCGGACCGGTGCTCCCGCCCTCCCCTCGGGTGCGGGCTCCCAGGGGGAAGAGGGCCGTGGGGCCAGCCTTTGACCCGCACCGTTAGATGTTTTCTCGTGGCAGCAAGTAAACCTCTTAGTTTGTGTCAACATAAGTATCAAACCCGGGAAGGGCGGTGGGAAAAAAGAATCAAGCATATTTAAGGAATACTAAATACCACAGTTAGGTTCTACTTTGCTTTACTCCTTTGAGTTCTAAAGTATTCTAACTTCATAGCTTACAGAAAAGGCGGGAGGTCAGTATCGGAATGGCCCTGGGTCATGGAGAGGAGAGAGGAGGCAGGTGGTGCAGGTAGGGAGAGACGGGAACTCAAGAATGAGCAGGAGGTTTACTGAGGGACTGAAAGGACAAGCAACGTTAGAAAACTGAAAGGCAGAGGGAGCATCCTTACCTTTCCCCCAGCAGCTAAAAGGGCTTTGCTAACTGTTCACATGTGTGTATGGTGTAGTTAATGAGATAGGACAGCTGTAGTTAGGAGGACACTCATTGGAGCCCGTTGCTCTGGTCATGAAGCATAAGGTGGTGTCAGAGAGGATATCTCTAGCTTGGCTCCGAGGCCTACTACCTCTCTCACTGACTCTCTCTCAAAGACCAAGCTATCCGATTTGTTTCAGTGGTTTTGGCTTTTGGTGTGACAGCTCTGTATTTGGTCTATGCAGGGAGCGGGGTGATGGTTCTGTCATGTTTGCTTTCCTTGCTCTCAGCAGAATGGAGCAGCTCTCCATGTCTGTTCACCCTGCTCCCCACGCGAGGTGTGGGAACCCCCAGGCCGGCAGTGGTTTCTCCTGCAGAGTACCCCACCCACAGGGAAGTGTTTGGCCATCCGTCTCCTCTCTTTGCTGTCCACAGATTACCCGTGCTGACAAGGAGGCCACTTCCCAGGAGCTGCGAAGATGGGCATGAGGATCAAACTACAAAGCACCAACCACCCCAACAACCTGCTGAAGGAACTCAACAAGTGCCGGCTCTCGGAGACCATGTGCGACGTCACCATCGTGGTGGGGAGCCGCTCCTTCCCGGCCCACAAAGCTGTGCTGGCCTGCGCGGCCGGCTACTTCCAGAACCTCTTCCTGAACACCGGGCTCGATGCCGCCAGGACCTACGTGGTGGACTTTATCACCCCCGCCAACTTCGAGAAGATCCTGAGCTTTGTCTACACGTCTGAGCTCTTCACAGACCTGATCAACGTCGGGGTCATCTACGAGGTCGCCGAGCGCCTGGGCATGGAGGACCTCCTCCGGGCCTGCCACTCCACCTTCCCTGACCTGGAGAGCACCGCCGTGGCCAAGCCCCTGACCAGCACCGGCGAGAGCCACGCGGGCACCCTGGGCTGCAGCTCGGCAGAACCTGCCCATCCCCTCGGAGAACTCCGGGGTGGCGGGGAGCACTTTGGTCCTGAGAGAAACTATGTTTTACCTGGCGATGCTGGGGGAAGCTATAAGGACGAAGAGAGAAACGTTACCAGTGACTCTAACCACAGCCTGCCTCTGCCGCAGCAGCCCCTGCCGCCAAAGATCGAAGACCACGATACTCCTGCTCCTTTCACCTCTGTACCCAGTGTGGCGGCCCAGCCAGCCCTGGGCACGGTCAGCATGGCCATCCAAACCAGCACAAGCTCCTGCCAGCCGTACAAGCTTCAGAGCAACGGAGACTTCGGCAAAAACAGCTTCTTCCCCCCGGACAATGCGATAGACATCACCACGGGGACCAACTCCTGTCTGAGCAACAGCGACCACTCCAGAGACCCGGGCTTTGAGCAGATGGACGACCTCCAGCTGGAGGACCTGGGGGATGACGACCTGCAGTTTGAAGACCCCACCGAGGAGATCGGCACGGCGGAGGAGGTGATCGAGCTGAGTGATGACAGCGAGGACGAGCTGACTTTCGGGGACAGTGACAACCGAGAGAACAAGGCCATGCCCTGCCAGGTGTGCAAGAAGGTCCTAGAGCCCAACATCCAGCTGATCCGGCAGCACGCCCGGGACCACGTGGACCTGCTGACAGGCAACTGCAAGGTGTGTGAGACCCACTTCCAGGACCGCAACTCCCGGGTGACCCACGTTCTGTCTCACATCGGCATTTTCCTCTTCTCCTGCGACATGTGTGAGACGAAGTTCTTTACCCAGTGGCAGCTGACGCTCCACCGACGGGATGGGATATTTGAGAACAACATCATCGTCCACCCCAACGACCCCCTGCCCGGGAAGCTGGGCTTGTTTTCGGGGGCAGCCTCCGCAGAATTGAAGTGTGCGGCCTGCGGGAAGGCGCTGGCCAAAGATTTCCACGTGGTCCGGGGCCACATCCTGGACCACCTGACCTTGAAGGGCCAGGCCTGCAGTGTCTGCGACCAGCGCCACCTCAACCTCTGCAGCCTCATGTGGCACATGCTCTCCCATCTGGGCATCTCGGTCTTCTCCTGCTCCGTCTGCGCCAACAGCTTCGTGGACTGGCACCTCCTGGAGAAGCACATGGCCGTGCACCAAAGCCTGGAAGACACCCTCTTCCGCTGCCACTTGTGCAGCCAGAGCTTCAAGTCGGAGGCCGCCTACCGCTACCACGTCAGCCAGCACAAATGCGGCGGCGGCGGCGGCGGCCTCGACCCCCGGCCCGGCTTTGGGCCCCAGCACCCCGTTCTCCCGAAGCGGAAGCTGCCAGTGGAGGAGTTCCTGAGCGAGGAGCTGGCGCTGCAGGGCCAGCCTGGGAACAGCAAGTACAGCTGCAAGGTCTGTGGCAAGAGGTTTGCCCACACGAGCGAGTTCAACTACCACCGGCGGATCCACACGGGCGAGAAGCCGTACCAGTGTAAGGTCTGCCACAAGTTCTTCCGAGGCCGCTCGACCATCAAGTGCCACCTGAAGACGCACTCGGGGGCCCTCATGTACCGCTGCACCGTCTGTGGCCACTACAGCTCCACCCTGAACCTCATGAGCAAGCACGTGGGCGTGCACAAGGGCAGCCTCCCGCCCGACTTCACCATCGAGCAGACCTTCATGTACATCATCCATTCCAAAGAGGCGGAGAAGAGCCCGGACAGCTGACTGGGTCCCACCGGAGCCCGGGGGCGCTCCCAGGAGGCAGCCAGGACATCGGTTTTCTCCTAGTGGCTGTTCATCCCCACCCCTAGCTGAAGTTACAGTTCTGCCTTGCTAGGAATTCTGTCCTCTTGCGTTTAAAGAAGAAGGAAAAAAAAAAAAAAAAAAAAAAGAAGAAGAAGAAATAGCACATGAGCTGTTACTGTTTCAGAGAAGCAGCGGCCCTATCATGTTTACCTCCTTACCTGTTCTTGCCCATGAAAGGCTGTGTTTTTTTTATTCTTTTGAGGCTGGTCTTGGGATCTCGTCAGGTAGTTGGTGTCAGCTAGATCCCCCTCCCCCAGCCCCCTGAGTTTTATGCTGCTAAGAATCCAACCAACAGTCTCACTGAATAGAGGAGGCGGAGAGCGTTCTCACTGTGGGCAGAACCGCCAGACCTCCGTCTGGGACAGCCGGCCGTGAGCGAGTCTGGCAGTGTGGTCGCTTAGAGAAGACTAGTCAGCAGGGCAGCTCACCTCAGGTTCCATTCCCGGCCCTCAGCAGAGAAAAGGCAACAAGGATGGAGGTGCCTGTGGTTGTTCCATGCCTCTAATCTGCTGACTGGACAGTCAGATCTTTTGGAAGCTAGATCCAAACTGGGGACTAAGCTTTCTATTTAGATCAGAAAGCTTTGGGATGAATCCTGGCCGGGGCCGCCAGAAGAGGGCCTGCAGGGCCACCAGAAGTGGCAGCCTGGATGGACAGGAAGGGAGGTTTCTCTTTTCTCCTCAATTCCAAAGAAACACGGTTTCATGGAGTGATGGCCCAGGACATCAGGCCTTCCTGGGGGTTGGGGGGCCAAGAGGACAGGAAGGATATAGTCGGTCCTGTGTCCTCTGGCCACCTCCATCCACCGTGAATTTTCTGTTGGAGAAGTGGGGATGTCTCTGACAGCAGCAGCCTTGCCTTAATTTATATCCTGTCTCCTGCCTAGAAGTGTGTTTGACCTGTCGTGTAGATGAGAAGACCCACGAGGGGGGGTGATGGACTGGAAGCCCTTCAGGATGAAAGGGACGGAGTAACTGGTGGTGTGCAGCGGGAGGCCTCTCTGCCCAGCTGGGTAACCTGTTTTGCGCACGGGGGGGCAGGAGCATTGGCAGTTGACTTTTGACCTGCTGGAATTTATCCTGATCTGTCTTTGTGTTGCCGCCAGTGGGCGCTATTGGCTGACAACTAGTTCAGGGCCTTCCCTTGACTGGGAGACATTTCTGCCCAGCTCCGGGGGCTTTGTTGTTAGTTGGCTTTTGAGGGGGCCCTTGATCTCACGTACTCATCGGCTCACCTCAGTACACACTACCTCACCTGCTCAGGCCAGCGCTGGGGGTCCCTGAGCTAGGCCCCGACCCTGCTCCTGGTGGGACTCGGCAGCAAGTGGTTTTTAATGAACTCACAAAGCCTTTTTTGGACATGAATATTTATTTATTTTTATTTTTGTATGCATATTACCCAGCATCTCTTGGATAAGAGACTTCAGGAAAATGAGTTTCTCCCCAGCAAGGAGCCATATCCGCGGGAGGATCCTGGCCAGAAATGTGGGAAATAGGCTAGAACTGGGAGAGAACGTTTCAAGCCTTTAAACAGGGCAAATTCTTTTTGTTCTCCCCAGACAGGCTCTTACAGAATGTATCCAGGGAACACTTTAGGCAGCTGATGTAAGAAACCAGAAAGTTTGGGGCTTGTTAAGTTCCTAGGCCTTCCCTCCTCCTCCCATCCTGTGATGGAGTAGATTGGGGACCGGTCTGGGGGGAACCAAGTCACATGAAGGACCTTTTTGCACATTTTCTCATCCCTCCTAAACTCGGAACACTGTATGAAGACATACAGGCAAACCGAAGCTTCATCTTTGGTGCACCTGCTGCCTCTCTCGCCAGCCCTGGACTTCCCTAGCCTCTGACTTGGAGGGCATGGCTCTCTGCTGGCCACTCCATGAAGGGACTTGTGCACATGGCCCCCTTTCACCATCTAAACCCAACTTACGAATCTTCCCTGGAAACACGCTTGTCAGGAAAGCAGTGCTGAGACTATTCATCTCTGATAGCGTCTCCTTTTCCCACACTGACCTTTAGAAAGTTAAGAAAGAAAATGTGCAAAAGCCTACCGTCAAGTGTTTGCTAAGCTTCTCAAGCTGAGCCATCCCTCCCAGACCGTTGGTGACGACTGGTTTCTGTATGGCCAGATTTGAGGGAGCTGGTACCAGAACCCAGCGAGTGTGCTGGACAGACCCTTTCCCTTAACAGAGGGCGTCATGGATGCTGGGTAATCTGTATACTTAACCTGAAACTGTGAAGTATTCCCTTTTTGCCAGTAAACCAAAAAGCAAATCCTTGAAACTTTGCTCCTGAAACACTATAAACAACACACTGCACTCCCTGGACCCCCTGAGGCCACGTGGTTGATCAGGGCGGCCAGGTGGTTGCATTCAGGCATGTAGCAGGGTCAGTAGCTCGTGAGGCTCAATGACCAAACCCTGTTTCTCCACTTGTCCCCTGGACTCACACCCAACCCCCTCCCTCTGTTCAGTCACGTTTGCTGCCCCTGCCTCCAGCTCCCCCTTCTCTGAACTGTTTTACTTGAAACACTAGCGTGTGGCAAAGGGCACTGTAGGATACCTAGTGGAAGATACTCATTTTGAGTTTTTTATTTTTTCAACCTTTGTTTGATTTTGTCACGGAACTCCGTTTAGCACTGTCTCCTGCTGTTTCCTTTTGAGGTTCTGTTTGACCCTTGAATGTCTTCTCCCGTTTGCTCCTTTTTCTTGTCTGTACGCCAGACTGGCTACGTAATTGGCAAAGCCCTTTACTTAAAAATTATGTTTAAGAATTTTACGATGGCAATGCTAGAGCATTAAGCCAAGCGTGAGGCTGTTCTCAGCCTGCTTCCCAGGGGGAGAGGGGACTCCTTGGATGGCGCCCTGGGTTAAAGAGCAGAGGCTGCTTGTGGCCAGAGAAGGGAATTATCATCCCGGCTCTTCTGTGCCTGCTGCCCCGCTGGGAGGCTCTGCTGGGCCCTCATGGGCCCTAAATTGTAAGATCCATGGAGTGTCTAGTTCATGGCTAATTGGGAAGAAAGGAGGTGGGGGTGGGGCTCTGGCCTAGGTGACCCCTAAGAACCAGAAAAATGGGTAAAAGTTCTTTTTTAAAATTATTCTATTGATTTTTATTTTATTTTTTTACAGAGAGGAAGGGAGAGGGAGAGAGAGAGTTAGAAACATCAATGAGAGAGGAACATCCATCAGCTGCCTCCTGTACACTCCCTACTGGGGATGTGCCCGCAACCAAGGCACATTCATGCCCTTGACCGGAATTGAACCTGGAACCCTTCAGTCCACATGCTGACGCTCTATCCACTGAGCCAAACCGGTTTCGGCATGGGTAAAAGTTCTTTCTGACTTCTCTTCTGACCTGTCAGCACCCTTTGTCTCCAGGACAAGTCTTGGGGTTTAAATACCTTCTCCCAGTGAGGTTTTGCTACTGATGATTTTTCTCTCTCTTCTGGCCTCCTGCTGTGCCCTTGTTTTCCCAGATAACTCTACTGTGGAAATGAACTTAAATTCCTCTATGGACGGACACTGAGCTTATTGCCATGGGAGTAGGTATGTGGAGAAGTCTGTGCCCATATGGGAGTCGCTACACCTCCTTTTCCCTAGCCCTGCACTGAAGGAGGAGGAAGGGTACAAAGCATTCATTTCAATGTGGTCATCATCGTAAGTTGACATCAGGATGAAGATGGAATTGTTTGGATTTCAGTATTTCTTTAACACCCTTCCTTTGTCCAGTCCACCCTCCCCTCCCACTTCTACTAGCTAAAGTCTCTTACAAAATGGAGAACAGTTGTTGATGTGTAACTCCTTCCATTAAATTAATGAGTACTGACCTCCTAATATTTAAGTGTTTACTATCTATTGCTGTAAAGTTTTGTATATTTTGTAAACATTTCCCCCCCAAATAGTAGATGTCTAAAATCATTGTACATCTGATTCTTTTATATTCCATTGTTCGGCACAAAGTGTGGTTTTTATTTAGAATAAAAAAAGGAAATTGGACATGGGAGTTCTTTTCCTGTTTACTGTGATCATGCTCATCCCTTGAGTTGGAAGGTCTGGACAGTCACCCGTTGAGTATCAGTAATCTGCTCAGCAGATTTAGGCTTTTTCAAGCCTGAGCGATCCCTTCCAGATCTTTTCCTTCCCTGCAGCTGGAATTCCCTAGAGTTAACTTGTTGACAGTTTTTTTAGTATATGTGCTGCCGAAGCGAGCACTTGTTTGTTTTTCAAATAAATTTTTTATTCATTTCAAAGAGAGAGAGAGAAACATCAGTGATGAGAGAGAATCACAGATTGGCTGCCTCCTACACACCCCCTACCAGGGACTGAGCCCACACCCAGACATATGCCCTTGACCGGAATCGAACCTGGGATCCTTCAGTCCACAGACTGATGCTCTATCCACATAGTCAAACTGGCCAGGGCTTGATCAGTTTTTAGTGGGAAATTAAGTCAATGACCCAACTTTTTCAGGGGGACCATCCCTGAGGGGATCTGTCGGCCCAGAGGGTGAAGTGGAACTCGGCCAATGTCTAGTGGACTTGAAAATTGGCAATAAGTTGTCTTGCCAGTGCCAGGGTACGTTGGAGTGGGGAGAGGCAGGTCAAACGGAGGAGGCAGAGGTTTGGCATAATTTCTTGAGGTGGATAACAAATGCACCCTGACAGGAAAGGGTGCGATGTGGCCCATTTGGTCTCAGCACGCTGCCTGTCCCTGGCCCCGTCTCTGCACAGTAAGTGCTGAGCTGAGCAGCCTTGCTGCCGTCAGCACTGCCTGTTCCCTCCTCCCAAGGCCCTGAGGAAATGTGCTGCCAGGGAGATAACTGGTTGTGGGAGTGAAACCATGAGAAGACCACAACCTTGGGGAAGTGGACTCGGGTAACCTGGGATGTGGCAGATAGAAAATCGGGTTTTCTTTAGGAGGCTTTTGGAGCCCAAGTCAGGGAAGGCAGTGATATGGGCATCAGATGCTGGCTTGGTTTTTATAGGGGTGTAAGGGAAGAAAGTTTTTACTGTGTTTTCTGCACTGGGGGAAGCCCTTGCTGCAGCCCCAGGTTACACCCTGGACTCTCCTGGGTGGAAAGTGCCAGAATGAAAGATGAAATAGAGAGGGCCAGAGATCGGGATGCCAGGTCATAGGCTTTATTGAAGAGAAGAGGACCACTGCCGGCTGCTTCCAGAGAGAGGAGCAGAAGAGAGTGAGGGCCGGGGTACAAGCACTTTTTAAGGGGAGGATAGGGGACGGGGCTTAGGGCACTCAGCACATGCTGATTGGTGGTTTCATGTAAGGCCTATGATTAGGGACGTAGGGGGGCTTAGGGTATTTGGCAGGTGCTGATTGGTGGTTCAAGGCTCAGGAATGTCCGGCTGCAGATGGAGTTTACATCTTTCCATCAGTTGGAGGAAGGGAGGATCTATCAGAAAGCCTTCAGCTCTGTGCCACCGAGCAGTTGTTTGTAGCTTAAGAACCTTTAAGGTTGGGCCCAGTGAGCAGCGGGATCATAGATACCGATTTCCCCCTGCTTCTGACCCCCGGGCACACACCATTGGAGCGCATGTTTATGCATCTGCTGAATGCAGGTTCAGATTTCTGAAAGCAGAGGAGACAGCGCCCCGGGCCAATGACTTATTCCAAGTTAAACATTCCAGACGCACAGCACTGGGCAGGACAGAGGTCTCAGCGATTGTGTCTCTGGGCCCTCCGGTCTCCACTGGCAGGACAGAGACCAAGGAACCTGTGGACTTGAACCTGCTCTTAGGCTTTGCTTCCACCAGAGTTCGTGGACATGGTCCTAGTTTTCCAGACTGACAGCCTTTCCAGAAGACCTGCTTGTTACCAAGAGCAGCGGTCGCCAACTGGTGGTCCGTGAAGTCCGAAAGGTTGGCGACCACTGACCAAGAGGACTTCTCGTCCTACCTGTAGACAAGTGGTACTAGAAGTAAGTTGCTGGACAGGTAAATTGTGAAAAGACTAGACCCGGGAGAAAGAAGTACAAGGATGGGAACTGACAGAAGAATACCAGAACCCCGCCCTGTGACAGAATTGGGTAATTACTGCATCCTGTCCTGCGCAGGGGCCAGAGCATCTGTCAGTGCTTGCAGCTGGCTGTCCCAGGGCCTGCTCCCAGAATGGATGTCTCTTGTTATTTTTCTACGGTCTGGGGAGAAAGGAACAGGGGTGGGTTTCTGATAGATCTAGTTTAGATCCGAAATGTCCTAGATCCAAAGCTGGGAGGAGATGGGCGAGCTGTGAGGAGCAATTACCCTGGGGCAGCTCCTCTGCTCTGGGGGAAGGGGCACCGGATGGACAGGCGGAGGGGAGAGTGTCAACAAGGAAATGGAGAACTTCCTGGATGGTGGAAGGGGGTGGAGGACCATCCTGCCAGGCCAGCTGCGGGGTGTCCGTGCAGACCTCGGCTTCACCCGCCCTCTTCCCCGCTCCCCCCACTCTCACAGCACCGAGGATGCTGCCCAGAAATGTCCTGCTGAGACCTTCTGGTTCCTTGGCCTCTGGCCTCTTGTCCTCACAGCCTGCGTGGTGCATGGTGCGCTGGGAGATCGGCAAGCGTGTGTGCGCGTGCACACACACACACACACATACACACACACACACACACACACACACACACACACACGCACAGGAAAGTTTTGAGAGGTTCTTGCAGAGCTCACTCTTCCCCCCGGGGTGATTTCTGCAGTGCCTGTGCTTTCTGCTGAGCATCTGTTTAGCCTTAGCTCCTCCCCCGCTCACAGCTGCAAGTGCAGCCTTTTAGAGATCCAGAGTCACGGCTGGCTCTATTATTTACTTCACCCTTTCTCCTGTGCGCCTGTCTGCTTTGGACACAAGGACTGAGACAAATAGGACAACACCAAGGACCCATTCCTGATCCCTCTCTGCCCCTTCCCCCTCTCCCTGCCTCCAGGTATAAGGTAGACTCCAGTGGACCGACCATGAGTACTTTGACCCTTTTCCCTGCTCCCCCGAGTCTCCTCCCCCCCGCCCCCAATCTCTCACCTACACCTCCAGCTTTCTACTTCATGGGGGAGGAGAGTGAGACCCACCTCAGCTGACTGTAAGAGACTGAGGAGCGGAGATGGGTGAGGTGTCTGGTGCCTGGAAGTGCAGGCTGGGGTGGTGGGGGCCCGCAGCTGTGGACCTGGCGCCTTCCACGGTGATGATGATGGAATGCTGCGTGGAGGAGGAGGAAGACGAGGCCCGTCTGCCCGCCCCGGGCTGGGCCTTGGGAAGGTAGTGGACCACGGCACTCAGCAGCTGGCCCCGGAAGCCAGGGCTGAGGAAGTTGTACAGGATGGGGTTGAGGACGCAGTGGAGCATGGAGAAGCAGTCGATGATGTCGTAGAAGAAGAAGAGCAGGTGGGCCAGGTAGCAGTGGAGGTAGATGTCGGCCCCGTGCAGCGAGAGCAACAGCAGGCTCACGTGGTAGGGCAGCCAGCAGACGGCAAAGACGGCGATGTAGGCGCACACCAGCAGGCAGTGGCGCCGGCTCTCGGGCCGTCCCGCCCGCCTCAGCCGCCAGGCCGTGAGCGCGTTGAAGACGGTGATGAGAGGGAAGGGCAGCAGGAAGCCCAGGATGGTGGTGGACAGGGTCACCGCCAGGGCCCACGCGCTGTAGCTTTCAAAGGGTGCCATGAAGAGGCACATGGGCTCGGAGCTCTCCACCAGCTCCATGTGGACCACCTCGGGCAGCGGGATGATGGCCGAGAGCACCCAGACGCCCGCACACACCGCCCGCCGCGCCCGGTGCTGGTGGCGCTGCCAGGCGGGCGAGGTACCGGCCAGGGTCACGTAGCGGTCCACGCTGAGGCACACCAGGAAGAAGATGCTGCTGTACATGTTGGCGAAGTAGAAGTAGTGGCTGAAGCGGCAGGAGAAGCTGCCCCAGAGCCAGGTGTAGTCCAGCGTGACCTCCAGCATCCACACGGGCAGGGACAGGACGACGCCCAGGTCCGCGATGGCCATGTGGAGGACGTAGAGGCTCAGCAGGCCCGCCCGGCCCGAGCGGCGCCAGTTGACGCAGATCACCAGGAGGTTCTCCACCAGCCCCACCACGAAGATGGCCAGGTAGAGGACAAAGAGGGCCACCCGCTTGGTGCTCTCGCTGAGCTCCACCTGGCACTCGGGCAGAGAGTGGTTGAAGAAGTAGAGCAGGTCGGTCCAGTTGTGGACCTCGCCAAGGTCGCTGGTGGGCCCCGCAGTGACCCCGACGGAGGGCCCGGCCTCCATGCTGGCCGTGACGGACATGAGGGCCAGCAAATGCCTGGCGGGGAGAAGGGAGTGCTGGAGGAGAAAGGAGGTTGGAAAACAGCCCGGTGTCCCCCAGGTCGCAGGGCCCCGGGACCAGGAGGCTTTGGGGAAAGATCCTGGGTCTGAAGAGGCAAGAAAGGGGAAGTGAACGTTCAAACTGTGAGTGAATAGCACACAACTTACTTCTCAGCTTTGACCCAAGAGCGGAGATACGTCGCTAAGGGGCCTCAGTGGTGGGACAGGCCAGATCTCTGCCCAGCCTGCCAGGCCCCCCCTTCTCCAGCCTCAGGTGGGCTGGCTGGCTCCCACCGGCTGACACCACTCCTCAGGAGGCTCTTGCTTGTCTTGTCATGTGGGCTTTGGATGCACCGTGCTTGCGTGCTCTCTCTCTCTCTCTCTCTCTCTCTCTCTCTCTAACCCCCCCCCCCCCCCCCCCATCTGTGGATCATGCAGGAAAGGCAGTTATCTCCAAGCCCCATTCCCTGCTTCCCTGAGAGAGGGCAGCACTCACCTGAGTTTCCTTGGGGCACCTCAGGTCCTGGAGGCAGAGGATCTGGACTCTCGGGGAGCTGCAAGGAGGCTGGAGGGACGATGGCCTTGCTGGCCTTGCGGCTGCCTTTGCTTTGGCCTCAGGCCTCAGGGCTGCCCTTCTCATCCAGGAAGCGGCATCACTGGCTGAGGCTCTGTGGGAAAGGACCGGGGTTTTTCCTGCCTTCCCCCAATCCAGTTAGAGGGGAAGTCACGGACAAAGACCCAGTGGGCCAGTGGTGGGGAGGAGTCAGGCCGCAGCATTAAAATCCAGACTCCTCACTCACCAACAGTGCGAATTTACCTCTTTTAGGGGAAAAAAATTCCTTTATTTATTCAGTTAGTTTTGTAAATTCTCACCTGAGGATATTTTTCCATTTATTTTTAGAGATAGTGGAAGGGAGGGGGAGAGAGCTCATAGAGACCCATTGATTAATTGCCTCCTGCACATACCCAATCAGGGCTGGGGCTCAAACTTGCTACTGAAGTACCGGCCCTTGATGGGTATTTTTTTTTTTTAATGTATTTTATTGATTTTTTTTACAGAGAGGAAGAGAGAGGGATAGAGAGTTAGAAACATCGATGAGAGAGAATCATCGATCATTTGCCTCCTGCACACCCCCTATTGGGGATGTGCCCGCAACCAAGATACATGCCCTTGACCAGAATCGAACCTGGGACCTTTCAGTCCGCAGGCCAATGCTCTACCACTGAGCCAAACTGGTTTCGGCCCTTGATGGGTATTGAACCCAGGACCCTTCAGGCCACAGGTTGACACTCTAACCCCTGAGCCAAATGACAAGAGTATATGTGTGAGAATAAATGAGCCACCGAGGCGAAGTGCTTAGTGCGGGGCTGGGTCTGTGTTTAATGCTTTACGTATGTAAGTGTTTTCCACTCTAAATCAGCTTGGAATTCCTCTCTCCCACGTCTGTCTTCATTCCTACTGATGCAGAACCGGACAGGGTGGGAGGGCTAAAATAGTGTAAAAATCAGTCAGACTCTTAATTGCTCTGGCCCTTCCTCCGTTGACTCCCCCTCCCACCTTGCCATTCTCCCAGCCTTCCTTTGGAGATTTGAGTTGAGATTCTGGAGAGAGGGGAAAGACTGGATCTGGGGTGGGAGGGGCAGCACTGAGCTTCAGGGGAGTCCTGGATGGAGAGGAGAACAGCTTCTTTTCTCCATGGCTCCGTATTTCTCATGAAGTATGTGTATGGAAGAGGAGAGAGAGAGAGGGAGAGAGAGATTGAAAGTCACTGAGAGAGAGAGATTGAAAGTCACTGAGAGAGAGAGATTGAAAGTCACAGAGAGAGAGAGAGAGAGAGAGAGAGAGAGAGAGAGAGAGAGATTGAAATTCACTGAGCTTCTCTCTCCCTCAACCATAGGCCGAGGCTCGCAGCATGGATTGTGTTGTTGGAATATCTTGTGTCCACAGAGCTTCCTGCTTTCAGCGCACTTTCACCTCAGCTAATCATTTGATCCCTGTGGGGAGGTTCCCCTGGGGTAGGAAGGATGGGCTTCCTTATCCCCTGTGAAGCCCACAGAGGTTGCCCGTCTTACACACTGGAGATGGCAGAGTCACCTGAAGCTGGTCTTTGTTTCGTAGGATGTACTGGAGGGGATTAGGTATATATATTTAATGGAGGTGAAATTCCCATAACAATGTCAACCATTCTAGAGTGTAAAATCGGTGGCATGTAGTACACTCATTTTGTTGTGCAACTACCACCTTTCTAGTCCCAAAACATGTCATCACCCCATAAGAAACCCCATACCCATTCAGCACACATTCCCTTTGCCCCTCTTTGCCTAGTTTCTGGCAGCCTGCATTCTGCTTTCTGTCGCTGTGGATTTTGCCCAGGGATATTCAATATAAATGGAATCATACAAGGTGTGACTTTGTGTCTGGTTTTTTTCACTTAGCATAATGGTTTTGAGGTTTCTCTACATTGTAGCATATATCAGTTCATCATTCCTTATAATGGATGAGTAATAGTCCATTGCATGAATATAAT